GTTTGGTGCTATAAATTTTAACATAACATCACTCACAAATTTGATTCAAGAATTTTCTGACAAAGTTGAATTTTATTAGATATTTTCGAATTAAAGAAAAACAATTTTAAATGAATTTTTAAAGCTAAGTGTTCATTGAATTATTTAGGAAGTAAAAAAGGATTTTGAATGATTTCCCATTTAATAATATAATCCCAAATTTTTCCTCCATCTATTTGTAAATTATCAAGTTTAGCCATTATAGCAATAAAATATAAAAAGTAGAAAAGACTTAGAACGCCAAACGAAACGCCACTAACTAAATTTGATAGCAATGCACCACCACCAATAAAACTAAAGAAACCACTTAACACAACGATGATCTCTTACTGTTACCTCAAAAAAAAAAAAAGTAAGTTAGTCCAATATGTGATCTGTCAGATTTCAAAAGGATTTAATTTATACGAAATAAGACAAAGTAAGCGTAGAATTTACTTCTCTTAAGGCTGTAATTACTGTAATGCTATAATGTCGATTTAATATGCAATCTTACTATACTGCTGTACTGCCACCACAAAGAACTCTGGAGTTATGTGTGTTTGTACGTTCATACATATGTGCATTTATTGCAGCATAGTTATAAAGCTATAAAGTTTGTCATAAAGCGGAAAGCAGTTGAAGTCGATTTATATAGCCTTTCAATTTGATTGGTTAATTATCGTAATACGTAGAACAATCTGGAAATGAAGTCTGGAATAATCCGAATATTAATCATTACTAAATAAGGTGCGATTATCGATTACCAAATTTGCTAAAATCTCTGACTATAATGTCTTTCTATTCTATACCAACTTCATCTTAGGTTGGGTGGAATACACTGACATACAAATTGAACCCAATTTTCAGTACAAAATTTGAAAATCTCTCGGGTAAAAACATGCATGTATAAAAAAACCTGTTTACTAGGTCGTACCACAGTCTGAGTAATTTATTATATAAGTTTTTATCGTTTTTGTATTGGCTTCAAGAAGATGCATTTTCTAAAAGTCACAGTAAATAAACTTGCAATGATGTGTAGATAATTCTTCCAGAGTGGTATTTATTTAGAGCACTCTAAGTAATTTATTATATAAGTTTTTATTGTTTTCGTATTGGCTCTAAGAAGATGCATTTAGGGTTAGTTGTTTAAGCAAAGATTATTAATAAAGTTTTTAAATTAATTTGGGATAAATTTGGGATTTGGATTTTGCCAACATGTATACCCCCAATATGGTAATTTCTGACTAATAATTTATTTGACCAATAATAGTAGATTTGCAAAACAGATCATTATTCAAAACCAACATTCATTCTTACTCTTCTGAAGAAATTAGAGTTAAAACAACGTGCAGAAACGAAGTTAAGGTTGTGTTCATATGAAGGCATTTTAATAAATTTTTTTCTACAAATCTCCAATATTATTAAATGAAATATATTTAAAAATCAAACTATTGTTTTGTGAAGGGTATTGGTTAATGTTCCACCCTCAGGTCCGAGTTTGATTATCAAAATTCTGGCCCACATTACATATTGTTTACTAATTTCAGGCCAAATTAACTTTTTAATTTTTCATGATAAAAATATAAATTTTTAAAAAACAGGCATATATTATAAATAAAATTGGTAGCAATTTCACTAGTAAAATTATGAGTAATTCTGGCCTAATTTTTTATAGTTGCTTAGCCAATTAAAATCTATAATCTATCGAAGATATCTTGAATTCAATGATTCCATAACATTCAAACAGAAAAGGTTTTTTTGATTCAAGCAGGTATATGTTTTGCACCAGTGCCGAAATATACATGTGACATATAAATCAATAACAAGTTGGCATAATTCTGCTCGTTTTGGACCAAATACCACTAACCCTAATATTAAGTAGTTTTTTTTTATATACCTGTAAATTTAGAGATTGTTTTTTTTATATTCGACAATAAATAAAAAATATTTATTAAATAAAAATTATTTCAATAAAAAAAACATTTATTTAAACTGTAAAATTTACAAGTAATTATAAGGGATGAAGAAAATAATTACTTTTTTAGAAGTGGGTTATTACAGATTTTTAGATACATGATCTGGTTTAACTGTGTGTAAATTAGTGTGTAATAAAGTACGATTTTTCTGTATTTAATTCATTTTTTGAATATCCGTAAATCGAGAAAAAATCGATCTTCATGGGTGTGCCAGTCCAATTAAAAGGAAATTTCATTTTTTTATTTTTAATATCTGGATAGAAACTTCATAACGAACCAGAATTAACCAAAGTATTTGATGCTTCATTAATTAAGCCTATTCAAAGAATAAATTTAATCTTAACAATCTCATGACCTTTGATTAGTGATTTTTATCACGAAACTACCAAAACTGATTGAATAATTATTTACCGTATTGTCGCAAAATAATAGGCATAGATGTTATTTCAAATAATGGCCCAAATTAAAGCCAAAATTTGAATTACCCATGCGCGTTATTTTGTGACAATACGGGTAAGCACATAGGCGAGAATAACAACGAATTTAAAAAGACCCAGTATTTTCAGGACTTCTCTCAGCTAGTTTTTCACGAGGTATCTAGCCCTCAAATCATCCATACTTATTAGATATGAAATCTGCGACCTCGGAATTAAGGTCCCCCAAAAAACTCAGAATTTCTTTTTTGACAAATGTCAAGGGAAGTACCATGTTGATTCACAGAGAAATGCCAAATACCCAACCATTTTGGCTCGTTTTTAACCCAATCAAAAATTTGCCTGGTTTTCTAGAACCCCTGAAAGAAATGATTACCCAAGTTCAGTAAACTTGTTTCCTCTTAGATAAGATCGATGAACAAGAAAAGGAAATTAAGTTTTTATTAAAGATAGTTTTTCTAATATACTTTATAATAAAAAATACTTATAAATCAAAGTTTTTTTAGAAAAATATTAGTATTAGTTATAGACTGTATTATATCAAAAATCAATTCAAATTTTTATTGCATTTCAATTCACAGGTTGAAAAATAAAAAATCAGATACAAATCAGGTACCTGATTTTAAACTGATTACTACCTGATTACCACCTGATTTATGTATTTTTTTGTACCAAATTTTTGGTACAAAAATATGCATAAATCAGGTGGTAATCAAGTAGTAATCAGTTTAAAATCGGGTACCTGATTTGTACCTGATTTTTTATCTTTCGACCTGTGATCTTTTAATTATTTTAAATTATAATTTATTTTGAATTATAATTATAATTTATTTTGAATTATAATTATAATTTATTTTGAATTATAATTATTCAATCCAAATTTTGCTATTTTTCCAATTTAATTTAATCTAAATTTAGTTGATTATGATATATAAAATTAATTCTATTCCATTTATTTGTCTATAAATTAATTGAAATAGCATGTAATAGAAGTTGCAAGTTTTATTTGTATGTAATAATTAGCATTCTTGACAACAAAGTAAATATAAGCAAAGAAGAAATTAGATAGAAGTATGATCTGTAAACTATTAGTTAATATAAATAAACTAATTGAACTAAACTTAATAAAAAATTTTTTTATTTTAATTCTATATAGTTATAGAGTTAAAATAAAAAAAAAATTCATCAAGTTTGGTTTAATAGTTGTCAAGATATTTTAATTTAATTGTAAAAAAAAACTTACTAGCACCCCAAATGATTATTGTGCCAAAATTATGAAAGTTTGGCAATTATTTTAGAAATAATTTTATGTTTCTATAAAATTTTGGCCAACATTATTCACAACTAAAATTATATGAAATTTAATATCAGAAATTTTAAAACCTTACTTCAAGAAAATTAAGTAAAATTCCAGTCAAAATTTGATATAATTCCAGGCAGAATTAAAATATAATTTCAGGCAAATTAAGTATAATTCCGAGTAAAATTAAGTATAATTCCAGGTAAAATTAATGTTGGGCAAAATTAGGTTGGGCATATAGATGCTTGACAAAATTATTTTTACATTAACGAATTGATATAACCTTATAGTTTCGTCAATTCGTCAATGACGAAACTATAAGGTTACGTCAAGTTACATTAGTTTACATCAGATCATGTGATTTTCGTCAAGTATCTTTAGTTCTGTAGTTGGGCATAACCAGAGACGGTGAATACTTCTATTAAGAATAGAATAGAATAAAATAAATAATTTGATAAATTATAGCTAATCAAATATCACTATTTATCACATAATATGTTTTAAAAATTAAATTTTGGTTGGCTAAAAAGTTTTTTATTTTGTAATATTGGAATAAAATAGAATAAATGGAATAATTGATGTTAGTATGATAAAAATTTCTAATTTGATAGCTGAAGTATTCCCTGTCTCTGGGCATAACATAAATTACAATTTACATAAATTGCAACTTTTTATGTTTATTTGCATGCCAGCTCTATGAAAATTTGGCAAACATTATTCACATAACCAAAATTTCATATAATTTTGTCTCAAAGGAATCATACTTAATAAATATATATATATATATATATGCATTTTTTTAAAAAAAAATTAGCTACGTACGCACAGTACATATAACAAATAATGATAATATTCAAGACCTGTATTTCAGAATTCTGGTTATATATAAGTCGTTGCATGTTTCATATTTTGGAGTTGCCGCATAAAATGGCTCTGGGCACAATAAGAAGGAGCATCCCAAATAATTTCATGTGCCCCTATCCTATGTGTGACAGCAGGTGTTACAAAAGGTTGTGGTTACATGAGATGCGTATTAGTCCAGCATTAGAGGTAGTACTATTTCTAATAACAATCGATAAAAATCTCGAATTTCAAAATAAATACTATACTGAAATATTTATTTGTGTTATGTTAAACAGTTTTGTATTAACATCATTAGTTAGTACAAAAAAAACCATTTTTTGAAGTCAAATTTTACCTTTTAACTTTGAAATTCTGAACATAATCACTCACGAAAAAATATTGGCTAGCACAGATAGAAAAGATATCAATATGACAGAAGAAACTATCACAAAGGAAAAAGATATAGATATCACAGAAACTAAAGAAATAGTATCTCAAAAAGAGGAAATAGAAAAACAAATCCAAACAAATGAAAACAAAACTACTAACACAGAAGAAAAATATTACATTATTAAATTAAAAAAAAGCTTAATAAATGGAATTATTTTCAATCATTAAGCAATAAATTGCTTTTTATTTATATTGTTTTTTGCTTAATAGCTCTTTTAGTTGGTGGTTTACATTTGATTTTAGATCATAATAGTGATATTAAAACAAAAGTTTTACAAATTACCTTTATTTCTAATTCTGGAATAGTTGGCAGTACATCTATTTTGGGAACTCTAATTTCATTTAAAAGCCTGTTATCTGTCCCAAAATTAGATACTATAGATGAATTAATTAAAAATGAAAAGAGATTTGATATTAATCGATATGCAGAAGATTGGTGTTGTGAAAATTTGGAAGAACTTAAAAATCATGAAAAAAATAGAAAGCAACTATATTTTATGAAAAATTAATTAAAAATATACGAATTTTCATTATTAATACGATGATATGTCTTTCTATATCTTCATGCATTTTGCTTTCCCTAACTGTAGTATCAATTCTTACCTTATTTGTTGAAAACGAAAATAATAGATCAAAATTTCATTATTTAATCTATTTTCTTATTTTATATTCGATATTAGTTATTATCTTTTATTTCTTCGTATATTTATATATATGCAAATTTAAGATTCCAAAGTATGTTAAAGATTTTTATACCCCCATATATCTTTAAATGACATAGGAAACAGCTGTTCTTGTTTAAAAAATATTTTTTGTATAATTTTTTTGGGACTAATTGGTCTTATAAAATATGATAAAGATAAATAGTTTCAAATAAGAAGAGTTGAGCCAAAACTCGAAGAGATGGAGGGTATTAAGCGTCTTCTTCAAGGATTGCTAACAGCCCTTCCCAATAATAGGTCAGATTAGAGGTGCAGGCGAAACTTGAGAAATTGGAATAGCCCAAACCATAACTGAGTTATAACTAGTTACAGCTTTTTAATTTAAATTGTGGCATACTATAACTTCCATATATGCCAATATAAATATTTTGTTATAACTTTTTATAAATACTGTAACTCAATTTTATATATCATAACTTGCCGTAACTTGCCGTATTTTAAATATATATATTTATTTTTATATTCAGCAGCAAATTTTATTTATTTATTAAAAACATATAGCAAATACAGATATATCGATATCAATATATACGTTTATTACAATATTTTGTTATTCTATTGCTTATTTATTATTTCATTTCATAATAACTTGCATGTTCTACTAGCATTATCTAACTCGATAGATTTCTGTTAATTGTGCTTGGCCATTTTGGCTAATTTTTGATGATAATTGAAGGCCTTATTCATTGTTTTCTTCGTTAAAAATTCAAGCTACTACATTTACTATATTGTAATTAAGGCTTTCTGAACCTACTCATCAAGTATTATGATTTAATACCACATTCTGATTATCACTAAATGAATTATTATTGCCAACAAAGGCTGGATTTGTAATATCAATTGTTTCTTCGATCAATAAATTAGTTTCATCAATATTATCCAACTGTATATCAGTGTTATTTGATTTAGAAATAGGTTCGAAAAAGTTAGAAAATTCTTCAGATTGCTCAACTTCTAACTGGCTAGAATTAACTATTGATCCATTTACACTATATTTAAGATCACGTTCTAGCAATTCTTTGCCGTAGAACTTTAATTCACTTTTAATATTTGTATAGCAAAATGCTAGAATTTTTGCCATTGCCTCTAAACAAAAAATATTAAGCCTTGTTCTGCGATCTCCAAATATCCACTTTAAGGTTGAAAATTTTCGTTCGTATATGGCTTGTGATGGTGGAATAGAAAAGATTTTGATAGCTAATTTAGCTAATGAATCTTTTTGAGCATCGATACTAAGCCACCATTTTAATGGTGATTCTCTTTCTATATTAAATATTTGAGTATAAGGTTTCTCTTTATGTTTATAGGCACGAAGTTCTATTAATAGATCTTCACATGCTTCATAATAACCCAATTCTTGTCACATTTTAGCTACAGTTTCACAAATATTATAAAATTAACCTCGCTTTAATCCAATACCTAAAATATAATATATTATATGTATATAGAATTAATAAAAATAAATTATATATCCAAGTGGCAGGTCTAGAGTTCAAATCCCATGGATGACGAATTTTGAAAAATAGCCTGTACTATGGTTTACGGTTGTCAACTATCGGTTGGATCTAGAAATCTGTAATCT